TTTAAAAATCAAAACAATATTTTGTTAATGCACATCACTTAATAAGTATTATTATATTATATTTTTAGGTATTATCTGACAAACAATACACATGAACAACAATAATAAATGAAGTTGAAATATCATTAAAAATAATATGTTAACAAGTAGGAATTTCATAATTACATTTAAATTTATAAAATAATTGGTTCTACAGGCTATCACTATTGAAGCAGAGGAACGCCACGACGGCTCCCGACGAACCACGCGTTACGATATCGACATGACCAAATGCATCTACTGTGGATTCTGCCAGGTGAATAATGGTTATAATTAAGCTTTACGTAAACTACAACAACACTGTGTATACAACAGTGCTATTTTAAGTAAGTCTAAGCTTCGAAAAGACGATATCACAGTTCGTATTTTTCTTTTATGGCAACTTTTCCACCACAGATTGGGGGGATTTTTGCCAATATTGGGTTTAATCACACGGACGGAATTTTGAAAGAAATTAATGGGGTATCTGAGGCGGACGGCGCGTGATGTCGTCGCAATTAACCGTGCAACAATCTGACATTAAATAGTACACTATATTTTCTATTACTTTATTGAAAAAACAATATCCATGTAGATAATGCTGTTTGACATTATAATTTTCTCACTCAAGAATTCACAGGTTTACCTTAACCTTTTCGATATAAGGTGAATATTCGGCTGTAACCTTAACCGAATGTTAACCTTATACCTGTGACATTCTATATTTGATTCATCGAATATTGTTCTTGAAAGCATACCTCTTCAGACATTGTCAGTAACATATAACACACTTTTTGTGGGTAAATCGCATAAATCGTTATAAAGTGACATTTTACGTGAAGCTTGGACTTGAGAAAATAGTACGTCCCGCTGCTGGGCATGGGTACCCTCGAAGCGAGGATTCTTGTCATAGTCATGCTAGGGAAACATTTATTGGATCCGAACCCTTCTGAACTCTCAAAGCTCACTCTGCTGAAGAAGAGCACACACGTTCCGCGAGAAGTGTGGCTACAGAGTAAGGGTCTGGAGCATTCAAAAGCCCTGATAGCTGCCTACAGTGCCAAACACTGTAGAGAAGCTCTGTCATTGGACAGAAATGGCATCAAAATGCCTACTAGTCTTAACAGGACATTGTGGCTTGAACAAGCACATGTCAAAAATTGGGCGGAGAGAGTGTAGATTCTGCCACGAGGTGGATGATAGTCCTGTTCATCTTCTTACCCAATGCTACACTCTGATGGGATACATTTTTCATTATGTGTACGATTTTTGTACGTATATGTAGCTATCAATGAAAATAATTGAATATCCAATATCTTATAAACAAAGGAGCGAGTAATTTTAAAATTTCGCGACTAGAACCGACTATTTCTGGGCGCAATCAGATCTAAGCTAGGAGCTGTGGTTCTGGAGATTTAAAAATGGTGCTTATTTATTACAGCGTGGATAACTTCAAAACGGCGTAACGATTAAATCTAGTTTTTACGACTAGAACCGGCTAAATCACGACTTTTTTTAGTGCAATCAGATCTGAGCTAGGTGTTGTGGTTCTCGAGATTGAGAAATGGTGCCACTGGAATAAGCTTATTCCAGGGTGGACAGTAAAACACCTTTGTAACTTTTGAACGGCGGACCGACAAACTCTAGTTTTTTTCCAAAACTCGATCGTGGTCACGCTGCAATAAGGCACACGAACCAATTACGCATCAATTTTTCTTTAATACAAAATTCTCTAATATTACAGGAAGCATGTCCCGTAGATGCGATCGTAGAAGGCCCCAACTTTGAGTTCTCGACGGAAACACACGAAGAACTTCTCTACAACAAGGAGAAGCTCCTCTTAAACGGCGACAAGTGGGAGAGCGAGATCGCCGCTAACATCAGAGCCGACCATCTTTACCGCTGAACAAAATGCTTTATAGTCAAAATAGAATTCTTGAGTTTATTTTGCAGTGACCATAATAACACGAAAAGGATAAGCTACGCAGATGACCAAGTCAGAATAGAAAATTTCCATAAAGCGATAGGTAGAGGAAGAATGGGTTACCTTGTAGAATGTGACCTTTTTATTAAAAATCTAGAAGAGGCAATGCGATGTAAACTTGAATGAAGATAACCAATAAGGTATTGCGATCTAATAAAGAAAGGCTGACTACGTTGAATTGTTTATAGTGGTGTTTACCGACGAGAAAATAGCTCTTAAATGCAAGATAATTGTGTAAAAAAACTTGAAACTTACCGAAATAACTTTTCAGCAACGAAGTCATCCATAATTGAAACATACTCTGGAAAGACCTTGTTTCTGCTATCTCCGTTAAGTAATGCCTTCAAAACTAAGCTTGTCAAGCTGGATACGAAATAACAACTCGGTGATAAAAAACGAAAGCAGCTCGTCTATAATAAAATTTTCAGTTACCTGGTCTCAAAGTAAGTAATCACCTATACTAGAGCAACAAAATGTATCCAAAACACTTTTCCCAAAATTGGTCTTACCGGAAAAGGAATCTGGGCCCTCCGCATCTAACGGTTATAACGCTTACTGCTGAGCCATGTATGTAAGGACTGCATGGTTAATTCACCATTAATTTGCCGCGCGTATCCTACTACAAAGCAAAATATGTTGGAGTGCCTCGTATATCAGTTCCTAAAATCAAATCGTGCCTTGCATTTAAGAGCGAACTCTCCTAAGGTATGCAACAGGCTAATACTTTATAAAGTAATTAGTGCAATACTTTATGCTCACTGGGTCCATGCCTCTAATAAGTTTACCGTAGTTTGAAAGCAAGAATCTGAAATTATTGTAAGTCATTGTAAAATAAATGTGAGAAATAGGGAGTTAATAAATAAATTATTGTTTTGTGATAATAAATAAATATCATCTCAGTTAATATATATTTTTATTTAATAATTACGATTTAATTATCACGTCATTGCAATAACCTAGGGATTCGTCTCAAGTTTGAAACAATAGTATTCTGAAAATTGATATTTGCTTATATAAATAAAAAAAAACTTTAGGGACTTTGATCATTACTGAACATGTCAGCCCTGTTAGAAAAACAATACCTCAAGAAAACACTTAATAAAATCCAGATAGATAAATCAAAATACTACCTAACCAAACATGTATATAAAATCTCCGCGGCGCTACATGTTGACTCCGACAAACAGGTTGAAACCACCCAATATGAAATGTACGGAAACCAGCTTGTGCAAATAACCGCGCCCTGATAGGATCCGTCCGAACACACTCCATGAACAAATAATATCAGGACTTCCACACACTTCGCAATTTGGAGAGTTCACTCTCCGCATCAAATACAAAAATTACCTGTCAGTAGGTCGAAATGACATTTTACAGAAGTAACATTAGCTCGAATTGTCATAACCTCGAAAGTAATTTAAGAGGAAAATGTTTTTTTTCTTTTAAACGCAACTTAACCTAACCTAATCGTTTCTTTGTGATAAACATCCAACATATCCTGAAAGAACAACGGTTTCGTTATAATTCGGTTTTCGGTGTATTGAAAATTCGAACAATCGTTATTTCGGAAAAATAATTCGAGTTTAAAGAGTAAACCACAAAAATTTATTTAATAAACTGTCCGGATCAACAACCATGTCCGACAATTTGACCCCTGCTTAACTTAACATGGACACGAGGAGGCTCTCACACTGCATGGCTTTGTACCAGATTCCGTTTTTAACGAGTTCCTAGTAATTTTGAAACAAAGTTCTTTGGTCGTCGCGACATCTGGTGTACAATAACTAAATACCCGACTACGCTGGCTTGTATCTCGATTAGCAGTCCCCTTTAATTACAATTAATAATCAATTGATCTTTACATGTATCAGTTAATATCTGCTTGTATGAGTTGACATTTATATGTTACAAGACAAATTTTTTTATATACTCGTATATCGTCAATACACATAAGTATGTACATTTCGTTCAATCATTTGTTTCATAAGCTTTGGTAATATAGGTATTATTCTCGTTGAATAAAAATTAAAATGTCTTCACATTATGCGTGATTTGTCTTAAAAGTTTTAATAAACACAAAAACGCTTCTACCATGACTTAAATAGTTTGCGCGGTCGCCAGCGACAACTGTCACAGTAACCTCGTGGTAGAGGCACGGGTTTCCACAAGGGTCTGGTCAATCTATACACGTAGTAATTGTTCGTCAATTAGTGTGGTTCCCGCCTAGTATTTTGTAGGTATATCGTTCTAAGTGTTCTGTAACGTTTTCTATGCTGCGGTCAGCGTCGATTGTGAGGACCTCGCAGCCTACGTTTGAGGAGTTCAACCACAGTTCATACGCCTCGTGGACCTGGAAGATTAAGATTAATTTAGAAGAGTTTTTGCAAATATAAATAACGCACACACGCACACACTCAACATAGCCCCGCACTAGGGAAACCCTGTGTCGCGGGTGCCATGGACACACACATAGACAACCACAAATTACACCCAAACCCACGAGAGAAATAAATGTAAGCCATACAAACATTTCTCCCGGCCCGGGAATCGAACCTGGGACCTCTGCGTGGCAGTCCGGCATGGTAACCGTCCGGCCACGGAGGCAGTTAATAAATAAATAAATAATAAAATAATAAAATATAATAAATATATAATAAAATAATAATAAAATAATAAATAAATAAATGCTGGATTAACAACATTTGCTAAAGAGTGTGAATTTTGTACAAATAAAATAAGTATGGATAGAAAATATCCTATCATGCCGCGGTCGTGGATAATTTATTTGATAATAAAGTAGCTCTCTAAGGGTCGTATTCTAGAACTCTACTCAATGCTCAAGTCAGGATTTGAGCAGACTTGAGTATGATTTTCAGTGCTCACTGCAATACTCAAGTCCTGACTTGAGTATTGAGTAGAGTTCTGGAATACGACCCTTAGACACACGTTTTTTCTTTTTTAACATATCTCTGGCGTAAGAGACTAGTACCTGCAGTGGTGTAGGGTCTGGGGTGCAGATAGCCCCGGGCAGCACAGCAATGGGGGCGGCGGCGAGCCCTAACTAGTCAAATTTTTCTTTTTTTACTTAAAATTGGAAAATAAATTCCACTATTTGAGAAAACGATATCCTGAGCAACAGAAAGGTGGCGACGGTAGGCTAACACAAAAACACAATCGAACTGAGCCTGCCGGAACGAACTACTTTTGTAATCATGAAAATAGAGAGAGCAACAAATTCAAGGCCTGGCCCCAGGCGACAGAAATCAACGCTACACCACTGAGTAGCTGAGTTAATGGACAGAAGACTGGTTTTGCGTTGCTGTTTTTTTTACAAGAGTCGTCGTCAACATCGTACTTCAACCCATTATAGGCCCCACTGCCGGTCATGCCCGGCCTCCTAAGGAGAGGCCTTTAGACCTGTAGGGGCCTCGGAAGCAATTGGGGAGCGTTGATGCTGTACAGAGGATACTGCCGCATTTGAAAAAGAACTTAAATTATCTATATGAAGAACACAACGTAATTTTTTTTCCTTGCGATTTTGTGTTAAGTTAATTAAAAAAATACGTGTTTTCAAGAAGTTTAGACCAACGTAGGTTCAATGCGATTTTGGGATTTCGCGTTTTCCACGTTTATGAAAATATTGTTATTAACTAGTCATAATATATACATGTGACTTAGATCATAGTAGACATGAGCGCCGTGCCGGCGCGTCGCCGCTGCCGCGTTTTTCCTCGCACCGCCGCCGCCGTCAAATGCAATCGGCGCGCCGTTACGTTCGATCAGGCGCTCCGATCGTACGCACGCGCCCCTTCCTTATTGTGTATGTGAAAATGGCGACGCCAGAAAATGACTTTTCTAAGATAAAACTTTTTTTATAAAATGTAAGCTCGCATTTGACCTCTTTCTCACCTGATGGAAAGTGACGATGAGGTCGACGATGGATGCCTATTCACTTTCGCCATGAAAAGGCCCAAGTTATAAAGTCCAGGGAACAAGTCTGCAGGCAGGGAATTCCACTCCGGGAAAAGGGAAAGCGGAATTAAATAGTGTAATTCCATAGCACACTCTCCGTGACATATCCTGTAAAATTCCGATAAGCTGGCAACTTTACGGCGGTGTTCAAGGCTCTGCAGCTTCGCCTCCACTAATTCCGAGTTACCTATAAGCTTCTTGACACGGTTGTCAATTGAATCCAAGGTGGCCAGTTGCTATTTAGCAGAGCCATCCTAAAGGAGGCATCAGTACTCCATACACGACCGGATTTGTGCTTGGTACAGCTGAAGCAACTGTCCCGGAATGTGTGTCCCTATCTACTGACCCGAGAGATAGGGTTTTCCGGAGAGATTACGGTCTTGACGGCTAGACCGGGGTACAGCGGGCGTCCGGGCCAAGCCCTGTGACGCCCACAAAGGCGTATCACTGGCGGACCCGGACTTGGGTATGGACTTGCAGGACACTGCGACTGGCATGTCCGGCACTAGCCCAGAGAGCTAGTAGAGGATAAGCTAGATACCCTCCGGTCCCTCCAGCGGCTTAGGTTATTGGGAACTGGAGAGGCTTCGTTTTTCGGCGTCGTCGGGAAGTGAGCGTGCCTACAGCTCCGGTACCTATCTGGAAAATAGGGAGGGTACTGTACGTGCACCCGGGGCGGCTCACCCGAGGCACCAGCCTCTCGAAGAACCCTACAGGTTATAGTGTCCTTCTCGTATGCCCTAAGGGTAGGTAGCATCAAAACTAACGTAGAAAGATATGGTGCTTGTCCCGGAGTGAAGTAACGCCTCACCCTGGAAAGAGTCCCAAGCTTCCTTGCTGCATGTTTGTTCATGGATTCAACGTATCTCTACCGAAGTACAAATTGGATGACAGGTCCATTCCAAGTAGCTGGAGACAGTCGGCTATCGGTATGGATATATCACGAAAAGTCGGAGTCAGCTCAAAGGAACTCCGTTTTTCTCCGTTGGAGAATAGACACGCCTGTGTTCAGTAGCGTTAAATTTGACAAGATTGGCATCGCCCCTATCGGAGATTGCCTTGAGTGTCAAATCCAAACGGCTAACCATGACTCTCGACAAGACTGGATTTCCTCTCCACGGACCCTTGCATTGGTCAAGTACCTATCTACAACTGTGTTGTCATCAGCATACGCAAAGGTACCTGGAATTAACATATCATTGATATGCAGTAGAAAGAGAGTTGCGGACAGTACGGAACCCTGAGGAATCTATCGCCATATGTTCGGAAGAGTAGCCTTCTGAGACCTCTCGAATCGAACGTTCGCTCAAGAAATCCGAGATACAATTGCAAAGTGGGAAGCCCATAAAAGGGAAGCTTACTTAAAAGGTTTGCGTGGCAGACTCCGCCAAAGGCTTTAGAAATATCCAAAGATACTGCAAGTGCTTCACCTTGCTTCTCTATAGCCTCGCTCCATATGTGACAGGTATACACAAGATCCCCAGTTGATCGCCCTCTTCGGAATCCGTACTGGCGATCGCTGAGGAGGTACGACAAGAGACGGTTGTTGAGAACACGTTCCATAGTCTTGCAGAGTATTGAAGTGACTGAGATAGGTCTATTAGTTGTCAGAGTCAGCTCTGCTTCCCGTTTTCGGCACAGGTTGCACGTTTGCAAACATTCACGACCTGGGAACTACACCTGTCTCAAGTGAGAGGCGGTACAGGCGTAGGCATGTGAGAACAGGTGACAACTCAGGCGCACAGTTACGTAGGACTAGTGCTGGAATTCCATCTGGCCCGCTAGCTTTATTCACGTCTAGATTCCGCAGTTTTGAGTACCTCTTTTTGGCGTAGCGAATTGGCGCCATAGTGCAGCCAGCCTGGGGTAAGATTAGGTCCAGACGCGAACTTTTTGCAAAGAGTGAGGCAAAAAGATTTGCCTTGTCTTCTGCGATGTAGGCCAGCGTGACGTCCGGCCTCAGCAGAGGTGACATAGATAGGCGACAAAAGTTATTAGTGACTTTATATTTAAAGATGTTTAGTTTAAAAAATTAATTTGTCAATTTCTGGCGTCGCCATTTTCATTACGCATATACAATATGGAAGCGTGCGCGTGCGTACGTACGATCGGAGCGCCTGATCGAACTGATAAAAATTTGATTACTATAGAAAATACGTTATTTCATTTTTTCCTTTGAAAAAGTATGTGTATAACGGTTTTTGTAAAAACAAACACCGATATACAAATTCGTTTTAGGGTCGCGCTCGCGCCGCCGAAGACACTTTTATTGTCGGCGCGCCGCCGCCGGTTGGTCTATTATTGGTTCTTATGTCTAGATCATAGGCATATGCCGCTACACCTACAGATTTGAACCATTGGCATCTCGATTGAGAAGTACTGTTCTCTGGGCTATTTGTAGATAAAGCAAGATTTATAATAATACGAACTTGCTGTAGATACTCCAAAGGTATTTCAGACTCCTCGACACGACCACGACGCAGCATGCGCTCCCAAACCACTCGTGGGGACGTTTTCAGGTACACTGGAGAACCATAAATAAGAAAACATTTTACATGTAAGCTTCCTTCGTCATTGCCTAGTAACACTTGGATCATCAAGAAAGTAGATTGCATGTCGCAATGTAGGGAAATGGGGGATGTGATCCAGCCTATGCGGTGTTCAATCTAAAACATACAACTATAAAGATATTAAATTTGCCTATATTGTTTGTATTTTGAAAGAAAAATTGTTTATTCCATTAATAATTTAAAGCACAGAACACACACATCGTTTTTACTCTTAATTATATGACGTAACACATAATAAAATACAAGACATTAATAATTTCATTTACATAACTAAATAAATTAAGTAACAAAATTGGAATATTAGAGTGTGCACTGTGCCATTACAAAATCCATCCATTCAGCTTGTCGTGGTCTCAATGGAAGTACTATGACACTGATTTTCAGTGGAACCGGTAATAATATAATAATAATTTTGAATAAACTGTTGCTGTGACTCGCTACTTGGACCTTTGGTCAATGCTAACATACCTATAAGGTCTAAATCAACATTAAGGTTCTTCTCAGTGTAGTCAAACCACTCAGAGAGCACATGGTATTGAGCATCTTCTATCAGATTCTGTCTCTTTGCGTTTTCCACAAAACAGTGCCTGCTGTTTTGTACTGATCTGAAAATGTTACAATTAGTTAAAGTAAACAAGAATTGCAATGCAAAAATCACTCTTAATAGATTGTGTTAAGAGTATCTTATCAATTTACGCGTTGATTTAAGAAGGTTGGTTCAAGTGGACACTATTCTTATTGTAGCTGTAAAATAAATAGAGATTTAGCACATGCAATTTTCCACACTGCTGACATTCACTAGCAACAAATAATTATAACAAAATTCTTGTATAATGCAGTAGCACTGGCGTAATGCCAGGGTCCAGTCTAGGGGTCTGAGAAACGAAAATTAGATTTTCAGAGACGTAACTGTGAGTTACTATTCGGTATTGTTGCATCAGTACTTTAGGCAGTTTTTCTTTTTTGCAAACAAAACTATCTGACAGTAAACTTGATGGAAAGCAGAAATCCTCAACTATATTTTTGTGATACTACTAAAAGAATCCTTCACATCATAACAGCATTGCCACCCGTGGGATTTTTCATTTTTTGTGTCCTCTTACTTGCTACAGTTCAATCTGGACTACAGCAGTACTGATTTGCAACTACCCAGTTGGGTTCTGAACAAATCGACTGCGAACTGGCAATCGGTTCTATCTCAATTTTGACAACTATACAGGTGAAGAAAAAAATTGTTTGCGCGTTTATGTAGTGTCTGGTTTGTTAAATAAAAATACATACTTTGAACTTTTAATGTCCTGTAAATGTAATGTACACTGCATATTTTTATTTAATAAACCAGATGTAATATAAATGACGTAAACAATTTTTTTTGTCACCTTGTGCCAGTTCAGTCGAAATGGAGACCTCTAGTAGGATTACTATTGTGTAGTAGTAGTGTTTGCACTATTCTAATTACAAATAAATTGAGAAAATAATAAGAAAAAACAAAATCTAGCACCTTTTACAAACAACTTGAAAATTTGCCAATAATTACCTTTCAAACATTTTAACAGAGATTCCAGGATGTGAGGGTGGACTGATCTGGATGTTCAACCTGCTAAGCAGCACATAGTGTTGGAAAGCAAATGTCCATTTGCTCAAGTCGCTGTACAGCAGCCCTAGTAAGTTGTGCCCTTGTACATTTCGCCATTCATTTAATGGTTCCTGTGATATTTAACTTTATTGATGAGTTGTGCAAAAAGGCAGGCTAAACGGTATATTTATGCAGATCTTTTAAGATACATCACTAATCTATTCTTAAATAAGAAATTGGTCATGTTATCTATAATTTAGACTCCACATCTCATCAACATGAAATCTAAAATTATTTATACCATAAAAACATCCTACCGCGTGAGTTTCGACGTTTTTGAATTTGTCGAAGAATTTGATGCACGTGGACTTTCCTGATCCAATGTTGCCTTCGATAGATACCCTGAAAGGTCTTTTTGCAGCTACACGAGCCGCCGTCGATACCGTTTTCATAATGGTCGTAGTTAATTAATCCGTAACTGAATTACGAGAAGCTTATAAAAGATATACTAATTTCAAGTAATTACTTTGTTTGTAATAATATTGTGTTATATTTGAAGATGTAACGCAGAACAGTATAATAAACCGAAAAAGTAATATTTTGAGGGAGAAGGAGAAAAGACAACAAATCGGTTATGAAATACCGCCAAAATTACGAAAACAACACACACGTCACATGTTTTGACATGTTCATTGGTTATCATTTTTTAAAATTTGTTTCGTGACTTTGGATTCAAGGTATTGCGTATATTTTTTTATTAAGAGTTTGGCTTGGATATAAGTACTATAAGCAATGTCTTGGTTTAATTAATTTTCGGGATCGTTATTAGAATTTTCCATTGTGTGTCTAAAAAATTATGTTTTCACTTTCTCTTAAATAACTTAGTTCTCTCGTTTGGGCTTTCTAAATAGTCTTTTAAGCGGCGGAAGTCAATATTTATGTTTTCACTTTCACATAAGTTATTGTCACTTTGAACCAAAACTTTGAATTCGTAATTATTGGAATTTTCAGGATTAACTCTTTTTTAATTTGGTTTGAAATAAGGAATATAGTTTTAACTTTCTTCATCACTATTGTACTTAAAATTTAATAAAATTAATCATTATAAAAATTGTACTTCTAACTTCAAAAGCCCGCCATTTTTTTCTCGAGTGTGTATAAAAAATCAGTACTGACTAGTGTTGAATCATGGAAAAATTTCCTTTTTGAGAAAGTCACATGTTTCAGAAAAATAAATATTTTTCTGTTTTTTTTTCAATATTCGTCAAAAGTTAAAGTTACTGAACGAAAATGATGGAGCCAACTGCAAGTGGTGGTGGTGTGGTTCTTGGGCTTTTAGATATACAAGATTACAAGTTTCTTTTATATTTCACGCTAAATAAAACTTTAATAAGATATTTCTAAACGTAGAACATAATAATAGGGGTTAAAGTATGAAATTGCCGATTTGTACTGAAAATCTAAATTGTTTATTTTTTAAATTTTTAACAAATTTATTTAATCAAAATAGTTGCCATTATTATCTATACATTGCTGCCATCTAATGGGAAGGTTATTAATGCCTTTGCGATAGAACTCCGACGATCTAGACTGCACAAACTGTGTGAAAGCATTTTGTACTGCCTCCTGGGAAGAAAACTTCTTGTCACGTAGATAATTGTCCAAATCACGAAAAAAATGGTAGTCCGTTGGAGCAAGGTCTGGTGAATACGGAGGATGACGAATGGTTTCTAACTGCAGTTCCTGAAGGGTCAAAATGGTTTCTCGTGCTGTGTGAGGTCTCGCGTTGTCGTGGAGCAATAATGGTGAAGATCGATTCATGAGTCGGGGCTGTTTTACTGCTAGTTTTGTCAACATGGTTCGGAGTTCGGCACAATAGACATCTGCCGTTATTGCTTGACCAGATCGGAGAAAACTATAGTGAATAACACCATGCTGAGACCACCAAACAGTTACCATTACCTTTTTATTGGTAAGTTTTGCTTTAGGACACTGTTGTGGCATTTGACCTGGGGTCAGCCATTGCATTTTTCTTTTCCGGTTATCATAAAGAATCCACTTTTCATCACATGTTACAATTCGATCCAATATTCCTTCATTTCTGTACCGGTTCAACAAGGCAACACAAGTTTCAACACGCGTTTCTTTCTGCAGATCAGTCAAATCATGAGGCACCCATTTTTCGTATTTTTTTTATTTTATTGATTTGACGCAAGTGAGTCAATATTGTGGGTAAGGTAACGTTAAACCATGCCGCTAATTCCTGGGTAGTTTGACTAGGATCGGCTTCCACTATCTCTCTTAATTCATCGTTATTCACCTGTGTGGGCGGTCTTCCTCGTGGCTCGTTCTTTAAGTCGAAATTTCCATCACGAAAGCGTTTAAACCAAAATCGCACGGTGCGTTCATTAGTAGACCCCTCTCCAAACGCAGCATTGATATTGCGGGCTGTTTCTGCCGCGTTAGTTCCGCGTCGGAACTCGTATTCAAAAATCACTCGAATTTTCGCAGTATCCATCTTTCTTGTCTAAATTGAATAACAAAAACAATTGAAAGTCGATATTCAAATGTTTCAAATTAAAAAAAAAATCACAGAAATCATTTGAAAAAAGTTTCATTCGAAAACCTCAAACCATGAAGATTCTATGAAAATTCAAAGAACCTATTGCAATAAAACGGCAATTTCATACTTTAACCCCTAATATGTTATAGTATAAATATTACGAATATAGTTTTAATTTCTCTACGGACACGGATATATTTGAAGTTATTCTTATGAGTCTATGAAAATGATAACCTTAATGCCTTACTAAATCCTGTCGCTAATAGAAAAGAGCGACATCGCTTTTGGGAAGTGCGTTTACAAATAAACTTCGTGGTTTCATAGAGTAATGCTTGACAATGAGACTTTAAAAGCAAAAATAAAAAATATATAATAATATATATATAATATTGATTTTAAGAAATAACATGATGTTTTACTGCCATAATATTAATTTATATTTTGTGAAACTACATACAGGGTGTTTTTTCGTCGTGGGGTCGCAGTTTTTTTCGTCTTGAGGAAATGAGCCTTACATTAAACTGAGTGGATCAGCACTAAAAAAAATTTATTTATTTTTATCGACTTACGCTAAACCAAAAATTGACTGTGCCAAAATTGCTTTTTACAAAAAAAGACTTTTGTTTCTAAGGCAATTTTCTTGTATATTCTATGGTTTCGGATATCGCCATACTGTCCCATTAAAAAAACACTCTGTATACTATATTCTTCATCGCACCAAATAAATACATTAGAAATAAGAATTGAACAGAAGATGAGCAAAGGTGGACTTATCTATAAAAGAGATTTCCAACCAGCCCAAGGCAGCTAAGGTTATAAGCGGGCAACAGCGTGCAAGAGAAAATTAGAGACAAATATAATAAAACTCATAAATTAAAAAATACTGTTACTTACATAGGTATTATAAATACATAGATTACATAACGTACAATAAATAAAATCAATATACATACACATAACTATATGCACACATGTACACATACATAAACATACATATACATTATGTAAAAAAAAGATTCCACTTACTAACTCCACTGTCTCCGCGATCCGAAGTGAGTCTTACCCTCCGACACAAACTGCGTGACATGTCTTAAATTACTCTGCTGATAATTTATAATTACTAATAAGTACAAAGATTGTGATCGAACACAAATTTTTTTATGATAACAAGTGACAGGACGGACAAGTCGTGCGTCTGGTGGAAAGCGACACGCCTGTCCATAACAGTTGCAGTCCCACAGAGAGCTTTAAATCGCCAAAATCTGAGGGGCACTAACACTACGCCCGTCACCTTGAGACATAAATTGACAAGTCCCATGTGCCTGCAATTTCACTAACTCCCTTACCGTTCAAAACCGGAACGCAGTAATGCTGACATTACTGCTTAGCGGGAGAAATAGGTAAGGAGGCAGTACTTACCGGACGAACTTTTCACAAGGAACTTTACAGCTACTAAATTTCTTGGATGATTCGAAACCATGTGGATGCATGTGACCTATGACTCCAATTTTTAAGTTACGTACTTTTGTTTTGTAGCAATACCTCTCGCTAAGATTGAAGAACGACATCGTGATGAATCCTGCACGTCGAAGAAGGTTCACAACCCTTGGAAAACGGATGAAGCCCCCAACCCACATTGGGTGCATCATAGCCTGATCCCTCTCCTTAGAAACCGTTCCCGGATAGTAAGTTCCTGCTGATGGTATATGACATTTAGTGTAATTAGTGTCTTTACATGAGTGTACGAGGGAGTCCACTAACAGAGAGAGATGGCGAGATGTCGTGAGGCAAGCCACATCAGCCGTTAGCAAGCGTATTCCGTGATCCACGACCGATCTGTCAAGAGTGATACGAAAGAGAAGAAGATAATTAGTGTATTCCGTGTATTCAATTCAATAAAAATTTAATTAATACAGTGAATAGCGACATCTCTCGCCAGGACTGGTAGCTGTAAAGGTACTAACTGGGTGATAAATCTGTCATAGATTTCTCATAGATGGCGCTACGACTAAAAAGTCGTTGAAAGACCAAGTACAAAGACACGACACAAGCACATAGACAAATTCGTGAGGTCCGTTGGTTCGTTCCGTGGCTTAGTTGGTATAGCGTCTGGCACGGTATGCAAGAAGACGTCGGTTCGAATCCGACCGGATCGAAGGAATTTTTTCTGAGTGTTTTTTCGAGTGTTCGATCTTTGTATTAATAATTATAACAAACTAGTGGAGTAATTTCACAAAAAATAATTGAATATCAATTCAATAAAAATTTAATTAGTCATCTGAATACTTATTATTTTTAAGGTCTCCGAAAATGTGGACAAACGTAAGCAAATCTTATATTTAAAGAAAATCTCTTAATATTAAATTGCTCTGCAAAATGCATAAACAGGGGAGGTTTCCTCCCTGAAGGAAAAGTGAAAGTTTGCGTCAACCGGCCGCAGAAAGGGTGTTTATTTCATAAAGTTAAGGATGTGAGGGTACGCAGATAAAGCTGAATATATTACAATTATTTGAGAACTTTTAATTAATGGGTACACGTGTGAAAGTAAACCGTAAGTTACGGATTTTAGGGGATTTACTAAATATGGATTAAGCATTGATATTAATACACTTACTGCTCTTAAATGATATCTATGTCTTTGTCAACACTCATCCTTAATATTTTAAAACAAATGGTTCCCATTTAAAGACAAACTAGATTTAATATTATGAATATTTTATTGTAACCTCGTTGCCTTAAAATGTTTTATAAGAATAAATGTGTGTAAAGAATTTCAATAATTTACCAAACGAATTTGTTTTTATGATTTAAAAAAAGTGACGGGGCGAACAAGTCCTGCGCCTGATAGTAAGCGACACGCTTGTCCATAACAGTTACAGAACATGTACAAGACAAGGCGACTTCTCCTATGTGAACCGAGCACTTAAGAAAAATGTTTTTTTGTATTGCTTTACACGAGCGATTCGTTCTGTGTACCGTCTAGGCTCTCGGGTTTCTCTCAGAGAAAAGTTTAAGGAGACTGGTATCATGACTGTGGCATTACAGTACATTTACTCAAACATTC